CACAAGGTAATAGCGACCTGTGAAAGTGCACATGTAAATGACATAATACTCGTCATCAATGTTCACATGAAAGGGCACTTCTTCCGTACATTTTTATCATGGACATTGTAAACACTGCCATACATAAATTACCACATGGTCAGTGGTTCATCAAATTTTGTTTTTCATTACAATGGTAACATAAATCAAATTTATAATGGGAATATAGTGATATAAAATAAATTGGTACATTTTGACATTTATATTACTGAGGTTAATTATATTTGCATATAATGATGGATGTTACCTTTATGTTGAGCTTGTTTGATACATATTTTCTTGTCTTGCAAAAAAAATTCCCGGTCATGCATTGAATTCTAAATATATCTTTACATTGTTATTTACATACAGATGTTTACCAAAAAAGAATTATGCTACAACAATTGTATTGTGGATTCAGATGTACGTACCGTCAGTTGCAGTTGGAAAATTGTATTGTGGATCCTCCGTTACGTTGCTTAAAACCCGGCTGTCGTGCATGCTGCCCTCTCACCCGCACGACACAAACACAAAGCACATATTGAAATCACATACCGCCAAAATATTATGGGTGTGACACTCCTTTCGGCTGAAATATAGGGCTGCTTCTGACTCCTTTATGCATGCCAGTACATGTGTCCCATCCAATGCACCTAAGCAATCCTATATATGAACCGAAAAAATTGCAATTACAAAAAAATAAATCGACCATGTTTTTTCAAATAATTTTGAATAACGTTACAAATCTTTTCCTACACCTTGAACGGCAAATATTGTCTTTGAGATTGCAAAATAGGATCCCTGTGCGTCTGGAAATTAGCAGGGGGCCTGCAGTGAACGACCGTGAATTTTTTCATTGCTTTCAAGACGGTATGAAAGTGCCGTGAAATAGTTTCACCGGAATGTTAGAACCGTTCTTGTAACTCCCGGTTTGGCAAGTTTTTTAGCACATGAATAAATATTGCAACACTCTTATCGACATGCAAGTCGTGCGGCCGCTCGGGTACACGCAACCCAAAGTCATTTACCAACGTCGTACATAACCGAAGGAACACCTGTTTGGGCATGCACAATTCGTACCGGAAGCGGCCACTGTGACCCTCGTATAATTCCGTAATCCAGGCCCTTCCCGACAATATGGAAGTACGGCATGGAACTTTAAGGACGTATGCCTTGTAGTAATCAGTTGCAATTCTGTAGGCTTCAATGTAATTTAAATTCATCTGCTCATGCCACTGTCTTGCGAGAGCTGCGACCCCTTCTAACATTTCATCCATCCGTGTGGGGTCGTCATCGTCGTTGTTCATACCTACAACATACAAGCATAAAACATTATCAACAACTGCCGAAATGAAGAAATATCAAGCACATGTGTTTGACCATGAAAGTTTAAAAAAAAAAATTGTTGTACAGCAAAAGGAAGTAACTAGTGTATATTTATGTTCAAACCCCTACCATGCATGGCATAAAGAACAAGCTGAAAAAAATAATTATTTCAATTAACTTTTCTAAAATTAAAAGCACATGCAATACTTTGTAATTTAAAATTGAAAGGAACATGAGATTTTCATAATTCGCATCATGTCAGTGGTTCATCATTTGTAATAAAAATTATTATTTTTAAGTGTTGCAACACACATGTTCCAGCCTATACAAACAATTCGGGCAGCTTATATAAACAATTCGGTCAACACACATGTTCCACCCTATATAAACAATTCGTGGAACACCAATGGCACCTGGGCAATACATAAACAATTCAGAAAATTAAACACTTCCCTACAACCATTATACCATAACAAAACATAAAATATAAAATAGATGGTCCAAGGTTTAATCCAACCCTGCAGCCATTATAGCATAACAAAACATAAAAGACCACAAACATATCCCGACTGTCCAGTTAAGGTTCCGTAAGCCACAGGCACGACCCATGCCCAAACCATCTTCAAACCACAATTCAACTAAAATTAAACACAACAAAGGAAAAAAAAAAATTTAGAATTCAACTGAAATTAAAATCAAAGTCCTTCATTCAGCAGATTTAAAATCGAACTCCTTCATCTCGCAGCAAACTCGCAAGAGTGACACCCCCACTCCTATCTTTGTCTTGTTTCTTCGCTCGTAGCCACCCGATTATGCCTCGGTCCATGGGAATACTCATTACCATTTCCCGATTGTTCGGAACCTCCATAAGCATGACTCCAAAATGGAGAAGTTCATCTTCAAGCTCTAGTCCCTGTATTTCATACAGCCGTTCAACAGCCTGTCCCATAGTAATACTGTGGCCCCCGACGACGTGGTTGACAGTTAATTCCTTGCTCTGAGTCTTCACAGAATTTAGCATGTCGTCCATGCTGCTTGCCAACGCTTCAGCTCCCGTAATGCGCTTGTTTTGCAATGCTTTCCCCGAGGAATGCTTCCGCTTACTTCCACTACCCGTGGCATTGATGTGTGCGGAGTTCATCATGGCTGCCATTTCCGATGCGCCTAAGTCATTGCTGTCACTTGAAAATTCTGGACTGTCCGACTCTCCGTCCAACTCCATTGGGTTACGAGTCTCGTCGGGTGTCCATGCATTTTTTCCCGTAGCCGCAGCGCCAGTGAAGACGCGCTCCATCAAGTCCGGATGGTCCAAGGTTTTGGTTCTGAACTTGCAACATACATTGTCAATCTGTAAATCAACACAATGTAACTAGCATTAGTGTACTGTCATTGAGTAAAAAGCAATGCAACATGGTGCATAAATCAGTAAAGTTTGTTAATGCTACAACAATGGCTGACAGTAATGTAAAGTATGTTACAATCAACATATTGACAAAAAAGAACAAGAATGTTGTAAAGTATGATGATTGCTACCAATCAAGGAAAAACGAAGCCTAATTTATTTTCAATAAAAGTGAAGAACAACATAACAATGTAGTGCTTCTCCTTAGAAGAAAAAACATCTATTCTATTTTACTATATGAAGGACTCAACTGAACAACTTTTGAAGCTATATAAGAAATTTTATGTTTGCCAATTGAATGAATAAACATGTGACAACCAATCCAATAAATAGTAGCTAATTAGTTCTCAAAACCAACCAATATTTCTCACTCGACAAATTGCCCCAAAATTCAAATATGCATGTACAACCCCCCCCTTTGTTCAATAGACTACGCTGTACCACAATGTTAACACTTATAAAGAAAGATCAATGCATTACGAATCTGGAAAACAAGAGCAGGTAAATTAGGTCATACTGTTACAAAATTGTGTGCCAGAAATAAATGGTTTTTATTATACAACAAGTCCTTATGTTTTGGGTCTTCAACCTACTTCATATGGAAAGTGAGCTAACACCAATTTATTGATGTTTTCCAAATATTTACAGACATAAAAATATAACAAAAAAAGAAATTGGTGCATGAGGAACAGCATAAGGAGAATAGTGGCATCAAACCACACCAACAAACCTAGGCCAACTCTTTTCAGAATAAAAATCTGAGACAAGAAATTTTAGTCCAGAACTCTTTGTCCAGAATTTATTTCGGATTTCAGAATTTATCAGGATTGTAGGCCAAGTAATATTTCAGAATCCATTTCAGTCCAAAATTTCAGATTTCATTTGATTTCAAAATTCTTTTTCAGAAACAAGAATTCATTTCAGTCCAACGATTTCATTCCAGAATTTTAGAATTCGTTTCAAATTCAGAATTTCAGATTTCATTTGATTTCCTAATTTCAGAATTTCATTAACATTAACAAACATAATTCTTATGACTTCAGAAATTCAGAAAAACAAGAATTTTAACATTAACAGACATAATTCAGAATTTAAGAATTCTTTTCATTTCAGAAGGCTGATAGATGGTCCAAGGAATAAATTCCAGAATTTCAGTATTCATTTCAATTCAGAATTTCTTTATCTGATTTCAGAATTTCAGAATTTCATTAACATTAACAAACATAATTTCATTTCAGAAATTCAGAATTCCAGAATTTTGTGCTGAGACAGATGGGTACATTACAAATAAAACCTGTTCACCATCCCAAAAATATTTCGTAATCCAAACCACAGCATGCCATGTTAGGTAAAGTTAGAAAATTGAACGTTTTAAACTACATTGGAAAGCATGATACACATACAAAAATTGAGATATTAGTTATGCAATAACGGACATGAAAAAAAAAATGTAAACCGTTACCTTTTCTATTTTAGCCCACCAATCAGCCGAAGCGTTGAATAGCCCAGTTACTTGGTCAAAGTCAATTCCAGTTGGTCCTTTCCGGCAATCCATTAGCTTACACCACGCACGCCACTCAGTCTTCAACAGATTGTACTTGTTTTTAAGTTGTTTGAGGGAATGCAGCCACCCAGTTGCTGCCTCAAATGTCTTAGACAACGAACGGTACCCGTTTGGAGTGATTGACATGTGTGGCCGGTTTCCTGCTTCAATTTCCTTCACAACCAGTTCCAACAAAATCCGTGTCGACTCCCCATCCCAAGTTGCTTTATGATAGGGTTGTTGGCGTTTCCCTTTGCCGAAAGGGGTACGAGGTGTAGATCGATGTGACACCATGCGACTAACAATAGCGTGACATGGGAACCAACGTAAAAATATGTATACACTAACAATTGTGCGTATTACCAATATGAGGAACACATTTTTATGTCAGAAATGTGGTATTAGACAGAAAACATAGCCCAATAGATTCATTTAAAGACATTAGTACTTGAAACAAAAACAAACAGTAGCGGAATTAGATGTAAAATACATGTTTACGAACAAAACATACATTCATAATTTTTTTTCAGTCACAAACCATAATGCGCTTAAATTGTATTAGGGTACGGTTGCTACCATGGTTACATATATCACATCCGAAACAACAAAATAATGACGACAATGTAAAGGACACATGTCACTACTGTAAGCACACGCAAAGTTTGTTCAATGTCACGGAAACGACCCTCAAAACGAGCGACATTCTGTGTGTCATTCTCAGCTGCCCTTTGGCGCCCAAATTCGTCACACCACCCAATCCAACTGACACATGGCTGAGGTTAAAAAAAAACATTAGTGACGGTTTAAGAAGGAAATGTAAAAGGAAACGTGCTTGTACTCACCACTCCACGAGGGCATTGGTAGTACGCACGACCAGGGTTTCTTGCAGAACGGGAAATCTTTACAACACAATGCCCGTACCCACATGCACACATACGGGTTGGTTGTGCTGATGTGGCAGTTGACATAAATGAGGCCATGGTTTCTTTCGTGACTTTTTTCGGGACATGACAAGCGCAGCAAGAGTAGGTCAATGGGTGTGACACTTTTGTTAAGGACATAAATTTGTTATACGAAAATGGGTAACAAAATGGAACAACCCCCCCTCCCACATCACATTTAAATCCCGGAATACCAATGGACACCCCTTTTTTTAACCAAATATGTATATATTAACAAATAAAAAAATCAACTTGAAAAGGATAATATACCAAACTCTCCAGGATATTACCAAAAGTGGTTGATCACTCAAACATCATGCAAGGCAATAAATCCATGTTATGCAGTCAAGGGAAGGCTAAAATGTAATGTGTTTGGCTAGTACATCTCAAATAAGTAAAATAGTGCTACAATTTCTCAGAAAATAAATGTGTTTGGCTACTACATCTAAAATTTTGAACTCACTATCTCCTAATTTACCTTAATCAAAAGATTCATTAAAAAGTTATTAATATTAGGATTCCGACATCACAAAAAACATTTTAATCCTTACCATATATAAATAATGTATCCCTATTTTTCAGGAAATCCTAAAGACCACAAAAATTTTAAAATAAAGTTTGTGCATATGAGAGCACATGGGTCTAATATCCATGGTTTCTGAATGACTAATTAGATTGGTTGTCATGGTGTGATCCATCACACAAAATTAAACCATTCCAATCCCATTCCATAATCCTATATTGTGCACATGAGTCAATTCTTGCTTGAAGATCAAGTATTTAGAAATTATTAATCCATTGGAAGCAATGAAACTATGGTTGGTGATTTAAGAACTATTGGATTTATAATGTATTTACTTCATTACACGCTCTCATCATGAATCACAATGCTAAAAAACTTTAGGCCTCAAGGCCTAAGCCACTGAAGCAGTGGCAGTCCCGATTTGAAAGAGGCCCCATACTTTCTTTCTCAAATAGAAAAGAGTAAAGCCATGCAACCTTAACAGAAGACCCAACACTTAACAAAGAGCAAATTAAAAAATAAATTTAAAAGTAATTGGTTTGTTTAATCATGAAAATAAACTATGGCATAGATATAAAAATAAAGTTTACAAGTGCAAGTGGTGAGACAAATTGAAAACGGAAAAAGAAAGTGGTGAGACACACACACACAGAGACACAGACACACACACACACACACAGAGACACAGACACACACACACACACACAGAGACACAGACACACACACACACACACAGAGACACAGACACACACACACACACACAGAGACACAGACACACACACACACACACAGAGACACAGACACACACACAAATTGGCAAGTGGTGAGACACACACACACACACACACACACACACACATAGACAGAGTTCATCCATATACAAAAAACAGAGCATACAAGTCATGGTTATCAGAACCACACCCCCCCAACCACCCAAAACCCGCTAATTTGTAAAGTGGTGTCGGTAGTTCAAAGGAAGCCCTAAAACCCCAAACATGGCAGTGTGCAGGGTAGTTCCTGAAAATATTGCCCAAATCTGAATTCCATCGACAGATTGAAATATGGAAGTGGTCAGACAAAGCACGAGACACACACACATAGACACAACGCAACAGAGAGAGAGAGAGAAACAAAGTTCATACATATATCAAAAACAGACCATACGCATCATGGTTACATTCCGAAACAGAAACAAGAGATGCTGAAGCGAGAGAGAGAGAGAGATAGAGAGAGAGAGAGAGAGAGAGAGAGCGAAGAAGAGCCTACTTGCAGCTGGGGGAATCGTCGGGGGATGGACTGCTTCTCCGTCGGCCTTTGCGGACTGTCGTCGTCGCTTCGTTTTTCTTTCTCTTCAGATCAGAGCTTCTACTATCTTCTGGCGTTGAACGAAGAACCCTCTTCATGTTGATGTAGCTGAATAGCTGAAGGTAGTACACCCTCTCTGATAATAGCTCTGAAATGATTCGTAGCTCTGAAATGATTCCTATCAGTGTTTAACATAAAGGGAGGGTGAAAACGGAATAAAGAAAATCAAGGAGGGGCAAAACGGTCTTTTTACACCGCATCTGCCACCCATCACGTGAAGATACTGTACATAGGTGTGTAGGGTGAAATTTATAGACTTTTTGGCTTTTTTAGTAACTTTTTGACTTTTTGGCTAAAAATGTAAGTCGCCAAACGAGGCCTAAGTAAAATTGTGTTTGTTTTGATGATAATTATTAGTGTAAAAATTGTTAAATTATTTTTATATAAAATAATAAAACAAATAAAAAATGCAAAAAATTAAACATTAATAATAATAAAAAAATACCCAACATGTAAAAAATAAAAAAAAAAATTATAATCCCCTCACTATTTCTTTAATACCACTTTCACCTCCTTCATCGCAATCCCCCTTCCAACCTCCGTTTTAATCTCATCTTCCATCCTAATCCCTTCCCCAACTCTACAAACAAACACAATACTAAATAAGCTCCACCTCCATCCTAATTCCATCACACCCTTTACACCTCAAAACAAACGGACGTGAATGAATTATCAAACTCAACTTATTAACTCCTGAATAAGGCACGCATTTCAGATGGACATGTAGCCATTTATTTGTATGAACTCTTCTTCTACTATATAAATTTTGCTTCCTAGGCTCCTCAATTCTCAACTCTAAACTCACTCACTCTCTCTCTCTCTCTCTCTCTCACATGGAAACCTCAGCTGCTAAATTTATTTTTGTATTTGTTTATGCCCTCATCATCACACTCAGCACCCTGCAAGAAACAAATGGAGTTTTAAATGGAGAGACTCAAAAAATGATAAGTGAGGCTAACAAGAATGGCCCTTATCTAGGGTTGGTTATTCCAAACCTATTTGAGATGAACCCTCTTCTTCAATCTCCAAGCTTCACATCTTCCAACCTTACCATAGATTTTCAAGGCAAGTGTTCCCTTGAAAATAAAAAAAATTTCCTAGATCACTCCATTTTTCTCTAGCTTCAATTACCTTTTCTTACTTACTTTGCATTTCATGTTTCATTTTATTTTATTTTTTTCTGAAGGAAGGAGATTTCGATTCGGAAAAATTGATGAAAAGGATGTCATATTGGTCATGACTGGACTTGGCATGGTACGTAGTTTTTTAATTCTCTTTGGAGAGTTCTTTATACACAAATTACAGCACAAAAAGTAAGTTCAAAGTCCATTTTATGATTCAAATTCATCTTATTGCTTGAGTCACGCTTAAAGTGAATCAAGGTCATAAAATTCACTTTTCCATGCATTTTTCTGTGTTCCAGTTCTGTACACTTAACATTTATGTTCTTTTTTTTTTCTTTTTTTTTTTTATAAATAATTTGGCATGTGTGTGTGTATATATTAAAGATAAATGCAGGGATAACAACACAGCTATTGGTGAGTTTATTTGAAGTGGAAGGAATAGTGCATTATGGAATAGCAGGGAATGCAAACCCAAGTCTGAATATAGGGGATGTTACCATTCCTCAGTATTGGTCCCATACTGCTCTTTGGAATTGGCAGGTAAACCCCTCCTCCTAACACCAACACAATACCTAGCTAGCTTTAAGTTGAAAACTTATACTGCGAAGGAAATCAAATAATATTGCAGAATGTAAGTTTGGAGATCAAAGTCTCTAACTAATCTTGTATCTCTTTTGGCAGTTAAGCCGATGTCTTAACTTGATAGTTATTAGTTAAAATAGTGAGACTCAATATTTTATGTTGAATTTTTATCACATAATCACTCCTAAGATTGGGGAACCCCTCACTCCAAATATTGGGAACCCTTAGGTGAGTGCCGGCTTGATCTTGGCTTTCGCCTCTTTGTAACCCAAAAGAAATAGAATAATGTTTGGGACCCCTTTTGGAGGTCACCCCTCACCCCCCTTTGCCACGTGGCGGGTGGTGATTGGAGGAGCAGGAAAAAAAAGAAAAAGAAAAAGAAAATGTAACCAATGAGAGAGAGAGCCCTTCGGATGACCACCTTAAGTCAAAAATTTGTGAAAAATTTACACTGACCGGTCAACCAGACAGACATTCGCCTAGTCGTCTGCCCGGTCAACCGGTGTTCTGATGAAGCTTCAAAAACCTCCGTTGGAGCATTTGATATTAAATGAAACTTTTACTTAAATTTTACTCAAATTTGATAAAAAGTTTAATGCACTGTTGAAGATGCTCTGAAGAATGATTTTCGCTTATGTCTCTGTATTATTAATTTTCTGCTTGAAGAAAGATGCACTAAATAGGCCACGTAGATATGTTTGAATGTAAATTTTGTTTAGGAAAACAAACAAGTTAATTTTTTTTTTTTTTTTTTATGTGCGCATGAAGTAGGGCTAGGTTGGAAAAAATTGGAGATCAAGCCCAACATAGTTTTTTTACGAGCTCAGGGCGAACTGGACCGCGGGTCAAAATCTTAAGCATAAGCGCTACACAATCGGTTTGACTCAGATGGACTTGCAGGGGTTGAGGGTTGCTGATGTGCCTTATGGCACAGTAGTCCTGCTGTGAAGGTTTGTAGAGGTATTTATCGAGTGTATTTTGATGATTTGAACCGTTCATATTGTAAGGTTTGTCGATTTTATCATCCATATAAAAAATCAAATTAATCGGACATCTATAAACCCATGATTAAGTCCTAATTGTTTTAAAAATATTATTAAAATCATGGTAACCGTTTATTTTTTGAAAAACAAATGTCCTATTATGATAAGACTACAAATGTCTAAATTACTTGATTTTTTGTATGGATGATCTATTCGACGAATTTTACAATATGATTAGTTTGAATAATCGAAAAAGACTCGAGACACACCTTAATAAGCCTCACAGGAACTTATTGTGCCATAAAACATAGCAGAACCCCCAATTCGGACTTGCAGACCGAACAGAGTAGGTCAATGGATCGCCTCTTACAAGTTAATAGGCCAAGTTCGTTGGCTTAGCCTAACAAAGCAAGATTTAAGCCTTATTTTTACATTAATGATCTATTTTTCCATTATGTTTTCACAATTTCTGATGGGCTCAAGGGTTGGCCTGCTTCCCACAGGCCAAGATCGTAGGCAAGCCAATAGATGGGCCCACGAGGCACTGTCGTTAACCACACTCTTATTATATCATTCTATAATAAATATTTATTTGTATTTAGAATTAATTGTTTCTATTTTACAACTTAGAAGATAATAATAAAATGATTGATTTCATTTGCTGCCATTGTTTAGGTTTTACCCCACCTTTATGTGAGAGCTTTTGCATTCTGTGCACTGATTTTCTGTGTAAATAATAGTTGTCTTTACTAAACTCAAAACTTGAAATGATGCAGAGGTATGGAGATGGGCCTGAAGATGAACTATCACTGGAAGAGAATGGAGACTACACAAGAGAAATTGGATACATAAAGTATGCAAATTATGCAACAAATGTAACAGAATGCAACTTACATGACAACTTCCTCAACAATGTTTGGTACCAACCAGAGGAAGTTTTCCCCATTGATGGAACTCCTGAGGAAAGGCAACATGCCTTTTGGGTCCCAGTTGATTCCCATTACTTTGAATTATCCAAAAACCTTGAGGTAAGCCTCCTCATAATTATTCTCTCTTCTTCTTTTTTTAAAGTGTCCAGTTGCACAGTTCAGAGTACCATATGATATTGTTTACATGGTATTTTTAACAAATAAAAAATTAGAAAACATACTAAATAAGATATCTTTGTGTCCTAACTACTTAACAAATGTGAGTTGTTGCACTTTTAGTTAGGAGTATCACGTGGACAATGTCACATGATACTTTGGAATTATTGAATAACTATCCGTCCAGTTGGGCCCTTGAGACTGATACCTATTTTAATAATTGAATCTGCTCTTTTTGTAATTTTTGTGTATAAAATTCATACATTATGTTATTATAGTTTTTTTTTTTAAAAAAAAAAATAGATGGTAAGTATGAGTTTTGATAATAACCTGTCGATTTTGTTTGAAAATAAATATAATGAAATAAATAATTGTGATTGATAGATTAATTTGATATATTTATTTACTTATATTTTTTTATGAATAATTTAGGCAAAAGACCTACAATAATTAATGAATGGATCAAAAACAGCCATGGCCCACGAACCTAATTGGACTATCTAGCTGTACACCAAGACGGACTCGGAATACTATGCTCCTTAACGAAATAAAACAAGGAAAGGCTATGGTACATCCACTATTTAGAATTTATCATCAAAAATTTGTTTTTTAGTTTAAAACCGGAGATTCTGGCCATAAGTCAATTTCTTAATTTTTTAGGTCATTAGGTCAAAATTTTAATTTTTTTGAGCCAAAATATACAATTTGTTCAAAAGGATAATTATTTGTTTAAATCAATCTATCTCTTGAAATCATCTCATTTGTCTATCAGTTGAAATTTACCAAACTATCTATCTGTTAAATATCACACATTTCACTATCTCACCACCATCACTTTCTGATGCCAACGACTTTTTTGGCCAATTTTTTGGCTACTTTTTCGGCGCCGGTGAAATTTTTCGACGACTTTTTCTAGCGCCTGTGACTTTTCCGGCATGTCCTTATTACCAAATAAGATTTTACCTTGAATCTAATGCCTTACACCCTTTTTAAATTAGACTTTTCACCAATTTTCTCTTAAAAATATTGATACAAAAATAAAAATACTGTGTGTTTTAAAAGAATTTGTTGTTTTTATTTCTAAAAAACACTTTCCTCTAGGATTGTAGGGTCTGGGTTGTGAATAGACTCTGGGCCCAACTAATCAGTTATCTATGAATTATTATTGTTGATTATCAAATTAATTGAATATCGGTAGTCATATAATTAGATCAAATTTATTTTTACAAATAGATAATCTATTCTATAAATTATACACAATGCCAAAAAAAAAAAACAAAAACAAATGTAATCCAATTTCATGACTATTGATGTCATGTAAGATAAACGATCTACGCAGAGAGCACCATATGATAAATGGTTGAAATTATCAAAATGAACCCAAAGTGAGCACATATCACATGAGCTCCCTCTAGTCCAATTCGTAGACTAGAGAAACTAATTCCAAAAATTATAAAAAAAAAAAATTGAGAAAATGAAAAGATAACTAAACTGGTTCTAATTGTGTGGATTGCATAATGAATTTCCATTAACAATTTTTTGAAGTGTACAGAATTCAATCACAAAATCAAACACAATAACCCTCTCACACGAGTCTGATTCTATTACCATATTCTGTGCACATAAAACCCCAGCAGCTGACTTCATAAAACCATCTACCTTGTTTGATCATTTAGAGTTTGGAACTAGAGGGCTGCATAAACTCAACAACATGTTTGTCTGAGACACCAAAGGTGACAAGAGTCCTAAGAGGAACTAGTGCAAGCATATACCTAGACAATGCAGCTTATAGAAACTTCATATATGGAAAATTCAATGTGAGCCCAGTTGACATGGAGAGTGCAGCTGTGGCACTCATTTGCCTTCAACAAAGAATACCTTTCATCACCATCAGGGCTCTCTCCGACTTGGCCGGTGGCGGTTCTGCCCAGTCCAATGAGGCTGCTACTTTCATTTCTCTTGCTGCTAACAACTCTGTCACAGTTGTTGTGGAATTCATCAAGAATTTATTGTCAGCCAATTACATAATTTCAAGTGCTTAGATGATCAATCAGAGAGTTTGATTCTAAGTAGATTGTCTTGCTGCTATTATGCTTAATAAGAGGCATAGTATGGGACTCACTCATGCATTACTACTGTTTTGTGTGTGTGTATGTGTGTGTGTGTGTGTGTGTTTGTGTTGAATGTTGTATTTTCATAACTTGTTCACTTAACTAGTGGTGGATGAACAATAATTGGCTATGTATAACTTCGTTGATTTTGGGCTAAGGCCATTTTAGGTTTTGTGTTCAAAATTTTCGTTTTTTCTTTTTAATTAATAAACTTAGTAAAAAGTTACGGAAACATTCATGGTTTTTATTTTGTGAGAAAGTGATTTTAAAAAATTCAAGAAACAATTTAAAATTATTTCTTAAAAAATGGTTTTTCTTTAAAAAAAATTTCTCAAAAACAATTTGCTATATAAGTTTTTTATATAATGTTTTGTAGTATCTATTTTCAAGAATAAAAAATGAAGAAATAAAAATGATACCAAACACATCTAATTGATCCCTTTCTAAGATTGAGGATCAACAAGTGGACTACAAGCCACACAAAGAACCCCCTTCCCCCGTGAAGCACCAAAAGAGCTTGAAAAGCTCAGTCAATGAGTAAAAGTCACCACATATTTATAGTCACCGAGTTCTTCATAAAGTTAATCCAAGTTGAAATATGTTTCCTTGCAATTCAATCCAAAACTAGTAAGAAAACACTCAAAACAAAATTTTAAGAAATCAAGATCAATTTTAAGTTTTCTCAGGAATAACCATACAAAGTATGGGAGTCTAGTTGCTCAAACAAACTATAGTACTAATTTTGACGCGAATAAAAAATATCCAAGGCGGCGCCTAAGTATGCTCGAGCGCTTACACCCGATCCCACACAGACAATAGTAAAAAAATTCCTGCAGCAGTCCTACGCTCAAGCACACAAAATTTCTACCCGAGCGCATCTAGACAACATAAACAAGCCAAAAAAACACCACCAAATTGAAAAATGATTTAGACCTCTAAAAAAAGACCTCTAATGGAGCTCTAATTTGTTTTTTTCTTCTCCCTTTTTGTCTTTTACTTCACTGTTTGTTTGTTTGTTTGTTTTTTTTTTTTTTTTTTTTTTTTTTTTTTTTTTTTTTAAATTTCTGGACAGCTCATTAGAGCTGTACTGCAGAAGTTCTAATTAGAGCTCTGCAGCAGCTCCGCCACCAAATCAACAAGTTTTAAGGTACCAGATCGCTACATAATGAAGGACTTTTTTTTGTGCATCAATCACTTTTTTATTAGATCAATGACTTTTTTTTGCACATCATTAGCATTTTTCATAGAACGAATAGGATAGTTTTTTTCTTTAATCATTTGCTTCCCAATTTCTATTCGATTAATTAAAAAGATTAAATTCTCTTGAGAAATTCAATGGCACTGGCTTCCCTCCAGTGAAGCCCACCATGGGTCCCTTTTCAATAATTTGAACCGTTAAATGTGTAAAAATACCTGTACAAAATCGCATTGATCGGATATCGATTGCTATCTCATCGGATTAGATTTTCTGTCAACCGTTTATTGTTTCACCGTCTATTTTTTTTATCCAAAACTGATTTACTTATATAACTATTAATATCCGATTAACGTGATTTTTTAAAGGCATATAGTACTTGAGAAATTCCATATATTGAACGGTTCTGATTATTGAAAAGGGTCTTGTGGTGGAAGAAGCTTACAACTAAATAACATTAAGATAATACAAACCAATTAAAACTAGTTCAGTTGATCAGAATTCTTACATCTTAATAAGATGTTAAAAGTTTAAATCTTGTCAGACACAAAAAAAAATAAATTAAAATGATGCAATCATGCAAGATAGGGTATTCAAAGCATAAAGGTCATATGTAACCAGTAATTGGTAAACAATGTGAGAAAAACAAGTGACCCTTAATATATATAGATCTCATAGAGATTTCCCTTTGTTTAGAGCTTAATAAAGGTGTTTACGTATGTACAAACCATCTTCCAAGTTTTTCTGAATTTCCTGTATAAAGCATTACTGCATTACTTGCTATATATCACCAAAAACATATATATACATATCAAAACTATTTAAGTCTTTTTCTTTTTCTTTTTTTTGTTTTGATAACCGGTTGTTCTAATCAGCTTGCATGCACCTCAGCTAATTCTTGAGCTTCATCGTCAAGTACTTCTGTCACCTCTTATCTCATCATCCCCTTCATCCCAAACCTTATTCCCTTCTCCCACACAAGGACCATATGTCCTATTACACACAAAAAAGTAAAAAATGTTAACCAAACTCAAACCAGCAAGAACCCAGTAGTAGTAATCAAAGTGAGCCTTGTTAATATTACTCGAAACCCAGCTCTCGTTGCCTCCCCTCCCCGTCACGTCATTAATCGTATTCATTATAGCACTCGCTAACAAGTTTGCAATCGACATTCCTACCCCATTGAGAGTGGTAGCAATGCTCGACATACTTCCTGGGAGCTCCGAAAAGTAGAATTCATTTTGCCCTATGCCATTGAATGCCTCAGCCAACCCACTCAAGAAGTACTGAGGCACTAACCAAAGCGCTGACATGTTCACCACGGCATGTGAATTGTCAGAGTACCCTTCCTCGATCGCTTTAGCCCTCCTGATGCGCTCCACGATGGCAGTGACTACCATGGATAAGACGGAGAAACAAAGCCCGATACCCATTCTTTGTTTGGGGCTTAGGTATGCGGGCTTTCCCATGACTTTGGAGGCTAGGGGGAGGATTACACGGTCATAGAGAGCGATCCATAGGGTTAGGGAAATGACGAGGAACATGCCAAATGAGCCTGCTGGGATTTCAAAGTTTGAAGTGATGTGGCGGTCCATGGATGATGCTTGGAGGACCGGAAAAGAGTTTTGACTGATGGTTATGGCGATCATGATTCCGGTTGACCACAATGGGATGAGCTTGACTAAGGATTTTAGTTCTTCTACTTGATCTACTGTGCAAATCCAACGGTCTGAAGTCCTTCCATCGGGGGATGAGTCTTGCTGAGGATCTCTTATTATGCAAGCTTTGTTTAGGAACCTAGAGAAAAAGATATTAAACAGAAAATAGAGATTATCCATGAGAACAATATTAATTTCATGGTTTAATGTTAGACAATTATTCATGAATATGATTTTGGTCAATAGCAAGAGGGTAAGAACTGAAAAACATTAATCATAAACAACTACCACTTAAAACTAACATTACTTGTCGCAATAGCAATTTTTTACATAAACATAAAGAATAAATTGAAATTATTTGGAGGGTTGGGAAAAAAAAAAAAAACAGCGCATACAAAGACTAGCATAAGTTCTCCAAATGAGTCCCACAGATCACATCTACTTGAAAACCTGAGCAATTTAGGAAGCAAAGGTCTCGATGGTATCGTTTTCTTTTTTTGTGTTTTCAAAAACAAAAAACAAAAACAATGAAAAGTTTGAAAACATTCATTGTTTTCAGATTATTCTCATTGTTTTTTTTTTTTTGGTGACAAAATACTTTTCCAAAATATTTGAAAACGTTTTTGACGTTTTATTTAAAAATTGTTTTTTTACCAAATAAAATTCATAAACATACGTGTTCTATTTTGAAAAAAAGAATAAGCCAGATCATAAAGAAATTTTGCTTGTGTATCATTACTCTCTGCTTAGATTCAGAAAAAAGCTTTGTACAAGATGGACAGACTCATGATGTGGACAATTGAACGCATGATACCTTAGATTCTCGCTCGGAACAACCAGCATTGATCCCTTTTTGTGGTAGTACGACACATTCGAGCTCTGCGACGATAATTCAAAATGCCTGTTCTTGTAAGAGCCAACAATCACTTGAAAAAACCCAACAACCAGGCTCGATTTCACCTTCACCTTGACATAGAAAGGAGAAGCCAAAAAGAACGATACAGACGACAAGAACATGAGCATTGCAGGAACTCCAAAACCCACTTGCCACCCTACATTATCTTGAATATACACAATACAACTCATTGCAATAAAAACTGAAGATGCGGCTGTAACATAGTACCAGCTGAAATAGCTCTGTAAGGCACTGCAAGATTTTAGGTTTTCATGTTTTGTTAGCTGGTCCGCACCAAAGGCTAGGGAAGAGGACCTGATGCCCCCGGCTCCAATGGACATGAGCCCGAAAGAAGAACATAGGAGAATGAGTTGGAGAGGTGTCGCGGAGGTGCAGTTGTAACTTGATTGGTCGCATGAAGGCGGCCTTGCTTGTGGAATCATGGTGGTTAGCCACAAAAGAATCATCCCCTGCAAAGTAAGAACTTGACCTGATATAGATCACAGTTGCATTTGAAATTACCTTCATTTTTTGTTTTTTGTTTTTTTTATAATGAGATTTTTTGGGGTGTATTAACATCATCTTAACAGTTAGTGGAGTGCAATCTCTAACTTATCATAAGCCTATTAAGTCAATTCAGTCCAATAATTAAAAACCGCATATAGCTCTTGACAAAACAAAATGACTTGGCTCCGTTTAAGAAGAGCAATTTGGGACTTTTTTTTTTGCTATTTTAGTCACAAAAAACAAAATAAACTATTTTAGCCACAAAAAACAAAATATTACATCCAACCCATAATTATTACACTCTTCTCTCACAAAAAAAAGTCAAAAAAATCAAAAAGTCAAAAAACCTTTCTCAAACCAAGCTTTTTAGCCCAGGTTAAAATCGCCAAAAAATAAAAAGTCAACCCACTTCCTAAACCACACCAAAAAATGTTATAGATAGTCGACAACAGAGTAGAATGACGAAAAATGAATCTTAACAGTTAGTGGAGTGCAATCTCTAACTTATCATAAGCCTATTAAGTCAATTCAGTCCAATAATTAAAAACGGCATATAGCTCTTGACAAAACAAAATGACTTGGCTCCGTTTAAGAAGACCTATTTGGGACTTTTTTTTTTTGCTATTTTAGTCACAAAAGACAAAATAAACTATTTTAGCCACAAAAAAATAAAACATTACATCCAGCCCATAATTATTACACTCTTCTCTCATAAAAAAAGTCAAAAAAATCAAAAAGTCTTTTTCAAACCAAGCTTTTTCAAACCAAGCTTTTTAGCTCAGGTTAAAATAGCCAAAAAGTCAAAAAGCCAACCCACTTCCCAGACCACACCAAAAAATGTTATAGATAGTCGACAGAGTAGAATGACGAAAAATGATTTAGCTAGTCAATGCCACTAGCGACAGAAACCTTAATTGTTTTGGTTTCAAGTCCAATAATCAAAAACTGACCCACGGAAAATCAACGAGATAACCACATGAATCAACAAATATATATATATATATATATATTGGGGACTATTATCATTCTCATCCCCTACCCTGAGTTCCCCTGTTCTTGGGGTAACACATAAGTCACTAAATCACCACCCACCCCTCATGTAAACTGGATGCTAGGGAAGCAATGCTCTATTCTATTTATGGGCTTCACTTTATCTCCTAAAATTTTAACATAAAATGTTGGGTCATATGATTTAAACCAATAACTACTTATTTGGATCAGTACCTAAATTTGTTTGAAGAATCTTGAATAATTTCTCAATGCGCGGATAACAATTTCTAATACGATATAGATGGTTCCCTCCCCTAATATTACAATTGCGTATCAATATTGGTGGCTACAGAAATTTTTTCAACGGGTGAATGAAGAATTTAACTTCTACAAATTCTACATGCATAAATAAAGGAAAACTGGCATATTACTGTACTATGCACGGGTATAAATAAATAATTAAAATTTAATTTTTAAATTAAAATAATAATATAAAATTTATTTAAAATATGTAGTAAAAATGATTTATAATCAATTACATTTAAGGAAAATTTACCCATAAGTCCTAGTTTTTGAAACGTTGAACCATTTAGTTCTAAAAGTTTTCTTATGTTCCATTTAGTCCCATTTTTACATCAACATGATGTGAATGATGTAAATGATCTGATGTTTCATTCTATAATTTCAAAATTTATTGAAATCTGATGAACATTAGATGTTTTTCATCCTATATTTTCAAACATTATTGAAATTTGATGAACATTAGATGTTTGAAATCCAATGTTTGTAACATGACTCTGATGTTATTAACATTGTATCTGATGTTATTAACATTGTAATGGGACCTTTCAGTCTATAAGAAAATTTTTAGGACTAAACAGTGCATAAGTTATTAATTTGGGATTTATTGGTGCATCCCCCTAAATTTTATTCTGATGTTATTAATTGTGTATTCTAAGTTCTTAATAAAAAAAACTGTATGTCATAATTTAATTGGTAAAAATTAAAGAATAAATTACAAAAATTATATTTACGATAAAATATAAATACATTTTGTTTTATAAGTTTTGTAATTTTAATTTACTATACGATAGTTGTAAATTACATTTGTTAATATACTAATTTTTTCTTATTTTGTAAAGTCTAAAAATTTGTCTACTCAAAATTATAAATTGTCGTATGTCGTTACTTTTACGTAAAAATAGATTAGGATTGACGTGTGTTGTTTGACTAAACATTAGAAGTGACCTAAAAATTACTCGAGTTAATATTTATGCTAATATGACCTCTCCCTAGTCACAAAAATTGTCTTTATCAATTTGTAACCGGTATGAGCTAGTTAGGTAATTTCAATATTGGATTAAATATTAAAAACTAGACTAGAAAATTTAGTTTGAGTCAAATTTTTTTTTTTTCCTTCAACAATTCTTGATTTAGACCTACAATACATCATATTTTAATAGCTCAATAACATAAAAAATAAAAATCTTAATTTACGGTGCTTTTTATCGATCAATAAAAAAAATGTTATATAAATATTAAGAGATTTACATTTGAATAAATTCTAACATAAAATTTTTACTTTAAAATTTTAAGACCTACACATTTTCTTTGACTCTATAACTAATATTCGAGATAGCAACTAAAATAAATTTCAATCATTATTATATGAAGAGACATATATGATAAGAGTTTGTAATACACAATTTTAAAATGTAATATTAATTCAAAATTTTGAGTATGGAAAAAATATGTACCCAACTTTATGTTATGTTTGATTCATGAATTTGAGTAAGAATTTGAAAAAAGAAATGAAAAAGATAAGTAAAATATAACTATATTTCCATTCAAAATTTTTACCCAAAACCATGAACCAAACACATCATGAGTGTTTGAAAGGAGTTTTGAATCTTTTATTGTAATGATATACACTATCTAGAAAATATATTTTAAAAAAAAACAAAAACCTATATAATATTTTGTGAGACAAGCAAATTCTTAAAATGGATTATCAATCACATTATAAGGGAATAAAAGCTAACCAATAATTTTTTTTAATTATTTAAAAAATTAAACATCAAGAAAAAAAAATTATGAAAGATGTGAATTAATTCCTATATATTAGTGGTACAAAAATCTAAATTTCAAAACTAATCTTTTTCAAATTTCTAAATTTAAATTTTTAAATGTATTAATTAATATTATTTTTGAAATGTGTAAATCAAGGCATAATAAGATTTTTTTTTAAATAATTCAATAAAAACTAGAAGATTTATTTAAAATTTTAAAACTGATTAGCTAACTTTTCAAATTTCTATATTTAAAATTTTAAATGAATTAATTAATTAATTTTTTTTAGAAATGTGTAAATCAAGGCATAATAAGATTTTTTTTTTTAATGATTAAATAAAAGGTATTTATATAAAGAAAGAGAAATGCCTCTATAGTATTCTTTACAATTTACGAGTAAGAATAAAAAAGGTAAGATTTTTCGTGACTTGTATATATAATATATATTCAATATTATTCAAGAATCTAAATCACTTTAATACCCCAAAAATCGAGAGCATTAAGAAATATATTAACAATTAGATACAGGATTTTTCTAAAGTTATAACTGCAATGCCCCAAAATCTACTCTAAAGTTGAAGTCTAGGAAACGTCACTAATGAATCATTTAGTTAATAATTATGTAAGATCTTAGGAAAGATTGTAGGAGTCAAAATAGCCTCTCTTATAATTTCAATCTCCTTAGATAGTAAAGCTACATTTTTTTATAGCTCTTACAAGTTATTAACACAATTGACAAATAACAAGGATAGGTTACAAAAGATATAACAATTATAAGATCATATCTAAATTATATCAAGAGTTTAAACATTACAAACCCAGAACTTGGTTAAAAATTGGACTTGTTAAAACTAGTTATTAACTTTCCTTTTTAAATGTGTAAATCAAGGCATAATAAGATTTTTTTTAAATGATTCAATAAAAGTTAGCCAGTAATTTTTTTTTGAATTGTTTGAAAAATAAAAAATTTAGAAAAATAGTACGAGAGTTTTGAGCTTGATTTTTTAAAAATAATTTAATAAAAGTTGGAAGTTTTTTTTTTTTTTTTAAATTTTAAAACTGATTAGTTAACTTTTCATTTTCAAATTTCTAAATTTAAATGGATTGATTAACTTTTCTTTTGAAATATGTAAATCAAGGCATAATGAGATTTTTTTTTAAATGATTCAATAACAGTTAGCCAATAGAAGATTTTTTAATTATTTAAAAAAATAGTATGAGGGTTTTAAACTTCACAAGACTCTTCTGATTAAAAACTTCATTTTTCTTAATATATAATATAAATAATATATAAATATACTTTTTAGACTCATTTTTTAAAAATAAATTTTCAAAAATCCTAAACCAAACAATTTTTAAATTTTGAGTGTTAAAAAAATTAAACCGACGCAGTTCTTCCAATCTAGCCGTCAATTGACCCCACACCAATAAATGGTGGTGTCACACCATTTGCATAAGATTGAAAAACAAAAGAAAAATGCTAATTAGTGCTCCCATTAATTAGGTGGCAGTGGGTCCCGTCATTAATTATGTGATATTTTGGTTTTGGAGTTGTATTTTTTTTTCTTTTTTTACTTTTTTTAATGCATTAGTGCTATTAGTAGTGATGTTTTTAGTGGGATGAATCATTGTTGAAAACAAAAACAAGTTAGCATCAATATGGTTACACGGATTACTCAAGAGTTATGTTTTCGACATTTAGGCCAAGTTTGGGTAGTATAAAAAAATTTAAAAAGTCAAAAAATTATTTAAAAAGTTAAAAAGTTAACACTATTCACCAAAAGTCAACAATTACGACTGCACAACTCTCAATTTTAATTTTTTCCTACAAATTAATTTTTACAATTTTTTATTACACATTTTTTCATAAAAAGTCAAAAAGTTAACCCAAACATCCATATTTTTTTTCCTAAACTTTTTAATCCAAAAAGACAAGAAGTGCACTTATTTAGGACACCCCAAACAACCCCTTATTTCAAAAACAAATTAGCATCAATATGGTTACATGGATTACTTGGAGTTATGTTTTCGATATTTATGGTGTGTTTGGTTGAGAGATTTAAGAAGAATTTTAGAAGAAAAAAAAAAGAAAAGACAAAAAAAATGTGTATAACACTAAGTGAAATGTAAATATATTTTATTTACATTTTATTTATTATTTTTATTTTTTTTTAAATCTCTTTTCAAATCTCTTAACCAAAATAAATGTTTCGAAAGAAAAAAAAAAGAAATAGGGAGGAGACTCGAATAAATAAATAAATAAATAAAAGTCAGAGAATTTACAGATACGAAAAACAACAATGATTCATCCCACTAAAAATATCACCACTAATAGCACTAATGCATTAAAAAAGTAAAAAAATAAAATAAAAAATACAACTCCAAGACCAAAACATCACATCATTAATGGCAGGACCCACTGCCACCTAATTAGTGGGAGCACTAATTAGTGCTCCCAAACATTTTTCTACAAAAAAAAATAGTAATGACAATAGTAGTGATGTAATCAACACACTTGTGATTTGTCCGAGGTGCTGTTTGCCATTTAGCCATAAAACAAGGGCCACGAAACACGTATTACAATTCGTGGAAAAAGACAAATATATCCTTGTGTTATAGCAATAGTTTATTATTCCCTACGGATTCATGTGATGGATTGAATATTCACAATTTAAATGTTCAATAAATCATGTTAATAATTTAAGACCAAAAAAAAAAAAAAAAAAACACCATTTTTTGTGTTTGAAGCAATGATGCGTGCATAGAAAGAAAAAAAAAATGTGTGAATTTATTCCGAGTACAGTAGGAATTACAATTAAAATGAATATAAACTCACATTAATTTTTTCTTTGCATTTTTCTTCGCAATTAAGAGACTAGTCTCTTGTCAAGGTTCAATTGTGTGGCTTTGGACCCACATTAGATTCTTCCTACTAATAATTTGAATCATTCAATTTATAAATAAATTAATTTTTTAAATAAAAAATTAAGTTAATCATATATTAACAATTATCAAACCAAATGATATTTTTCCTAAAAATAAGGGCAAATTACAAACACCCCCTCGAGATTTGGTGAAAATACAGATTTTTTCCTGAGATTTGAGAAATTACATCCCGCCTCCTGAAGTTTATATTTTCATAACAAATTGTCTCCTGAAGATTTTATTTTCATACAGATTCCTCCTAATTTTTCCTAATTTGTTATGAAAATTTGACTCTCATAGAGCAATTTGTAATTTCTCAAATCTCAATGAGAAATTTATATTTTTACCAAAACTTGAAAGGGTGTTTGTAATTTGTCTTAAAAATAAATAGACTATTATACATAATATTAAAAATAGACTATTTATTATTTTTTCTTAAAATATATAGTCATCAATCCATTTAAACCGTCCTTTCCACCGTTGGTCCTTAACTTTTCCTTTGACCTTAGCTTTCACATCAACATCTGCTAGAACTGTATACTTTAATAATTTTAATTAATATTATAAAAAGTCTTTCATGAAAATAATTATAAAAATTTTGTGATTCTGGAATTACACTTAGAGTAAAACACCACACACTAATCAAGATAATCTAAGGATTATAAATTTTTTATAATTATTTTCATGATAAAATTTTCATAATCCCTAATTTTTCCCTTTAATAAACAATAAACAATATTCAAGATCCATTGATTTAAACGTCCATATACTCGTGAAGTCTTCTAAAAAACTGAAAGGGACAGCAATTGATTTGCACAAAGATGAACACTCAAATCAATAATAAAGCAAGAAAGAAAGTGAAGGAAAATAAACAAATTTTCCGGGAAATTTTAGTTGATATACTGAAAATGGGATTGGAAATTTACCAGGAAACTGACAATGGACCCGAACCCGATCATACGGAACCGACCCACGGAGGAATCAGCCATGACCGCCCCGAGAACAGGCATGAAATTGGTGGCAGCTGACCAGAGAAAGAGGATGTTGGAGCCAGTGGGCATGTCCATGTCATATTCATTCATCAAATACATTATCATGTTTGGTATTAACCCATAACTTGCCAATTTCTCAAATGCCTCATTTGCTGCCCAATAAAAATAAATTAAAATAAAATTAACAATGAAAATTTACCACTTGAATGAAATAGTTTTTTTAGAAAAACCAGGGAAATTTACCATGCTACAATTTTTGTGTAGGGTTTGTTTGGGAAGAAAAAGCCCGGGACTTGTTGGCTATTTTAGCCAAAAAAAATAAAATAGGTTTTTTAGTTTAATAAGACAACACATCACATCTAACCCATAGTCATTATATTTTTTCTTTCACAAAAATAAAAAAAAATAAAAAAAAATCATTCCAAACGAGACTTTTTTATTCCCGACTAAAATAGTTAAAAAATAAAAAAATCAACCCATATCCTAAACGAAACGAACCCGTAATCTATTTTGTTATGGACTTTGCTACAGACCCCCACTGGGGGTCGACTCCCAGTGAGGTGGCAGCGTGTCATTCGTCCAAATCACAAATAAAAAATAAAAAATTTTTTGACGAATGAGAAGCCTCCGTACATCACCCCAGTGACCCCCACTGGGGTCTTAGGCATTTTTGTTCTGTTATATAAAGTGCTCAATGCAGAAGGTTTGTTACAGTCTTTTGTTTTTTCAAATACCTTTAATTAACTGCAAAAATTATATATCCAATAACTATAAAAGTGGGTGTTTGAGATTTGTTTTCTTGTTGACTTATATCTACTTTTAGTGATTTTTTTTTTAAAAAAAATTCAAAAAGATTTAGACTTTTAAATTATACTCCATGACGAACTGGGGGGAAAAAAATCAAAACTTTCAGAAAAACACAAAAACAAAAAAGAGGTGGCTTATTTATGTTATCCCAAATTCAATAATTATTTGTTAAACTTTCTAAAAATTTAGAAATTTAAAAGATGTATAGTTACAAACATGGGGCACTGACTGCCAGATAAGTTTTAAAAAAAATCACAATTTGTTTCCAGTGGATTAGAATGTTCTTGTGAGAAGAGCTGTGACTCCCAAAACCAAATCAATCAGAATTTGCCGCTTAGAAAAAATAAAACAAAAATAAAATAAAATATACAATATTTGAATCATTAATTAAAAGTAATGATATTATAAATAAAATATATACACAATGTTGCGTTAAAGGTGTGAATCTATGACCTTAAAATAAATAAAAATCATCAATACGGGTTTTAAATAAATAAAAATTAAAAAAAAAAAGAAGAAAGAATGAAAAACCACTCTGCCATGATGAATAATTCTGTATAAAACTTCTAAAATTGATACAAGACTCTACAGCTCCTCAAATTCTATCACAATTAGACTATAAACAATTGAAAAAACAAAAACCCAAATTAAAAGATCCAATACATGTATGTATGTATGTATTGTATTGTATATACATACAGTGAATAGTTATATATATAGAGAGAAGCACAGACCTATGATGAATGGCATGGTTCTTAAGCCACCCTTTTGGGTGGGGGTGGTGCCCAATAGAGGCTGTGTAGCCATCTTCTTTTCATCAGAATAACCAGCACTCTCCATCACTGTTTCCTCCTCTGCAGCTTCTTCTGCTAACCAAATCTGATGAGAGAGAGAGAGAGAGAGAGAGAGGGATTACTAGAAAAATGGGTGGTTTTGATTTGACTTTAATATCAGGAAGAGATGTCGGCAGGGTATGATGCATTTGTTAGGGAAGTTTATTCTTTGCTCCTAGGTAAGCCGACGTGGTGTTTCAACTTTATTGTTATTAATTGAATTACTAGGATTTATTATTTTTTTTTTTTCTCTTTTTAAGAGAGAGTTAGATTAGATAGTTGTCTTTTAATAAATAATATGAAGTAATATTTCTTTTATGTTATGCTTGATCATCATGATTCATGAAATGAAAGGGAGAGAAATTCTAAGAATAATGTTTGGAAATTTTAATTTGAGAGTTTTAATATAACTGTAATGATGTGGAGAGTGTATATGAAGAGGAGGCCTACATTTCTCTTTCTATCTCTCTTCTGCCTCATTAGAACTCCCATTAGAATTACTATTTTAGAGTTATGTATCATTATTAAAAATCTTAATATACACCTTCTAAAAAGCAGTGTATCATATGCATTTTTAATTATGTTATTTTTTATTTTAGTTCTGATCAATTTTTTTTCTTTTAATTATGATTCATGAGTTTTGTAATTATGTATAGTTATGATATATTTTTTTAATTATGGCTAAAAATATAAAATTATACAATTTTTTTTTTAAATTATAAGATGCATGCTCACCATAGCGGTTCCGGATGGAGGGAAGAGAAATGAGGTGGGCCCATCACAACCGTCGGATCAATATCCACCTTTTGATTGTGAAACACTTTGTGCGAGGCGTGGAGTAACAAACTTTGAACGAAATATTTTTAATAGAAAGCGACGTGGATCGCAATGAGGAAGCCTGCGGGATATCAGTGGACACGTTCGTAAGCGGTGATATCAGTTAAAGTTTAGACCCAGCGTTCGATTTATTGCTTATAGCATTGTTATTTAAGTTCAAAGTTAGATTTAATTTTTAAATTTAGTGTTGTGATTATTAATTTAAATATTAAAAATAATATATTTTTATATTTTTTAAATTATTAATTAATTATATTATTTACACATCATTAGATTTATACAATAGATTTAAAAGTGAGCTTATATATCATTCGAGTAATGTTAGGGATTATGAAAAAAAAATATCATGAAAATGATCATGAAAGATTCTCCACCGTTAGATTACACATACAATAAAATATCATACACTAATCAAAGAATAAAAAATCTTCATGAAGCATTTCATGATTTTTTTTTTTTTTTTCATAATTCTTAGTATTATTTATATCATTTTACTTAAACGAATGTGTAGAAATTAAAGAAGATGGTTAAGGTCTGCTTAGGAGATGATTTTTATACTTTTTTAAGTTTAAGTTAAAATATTTTTGTACAATGAAATTAGTACAATTTAAATATTGATAAACAAATTAACATAAGACTCTATATTTTGGAGATGAATATGTAATTATTCCTTATATTAATAAATTAAAACCCATTTGACAATTCCAAATTTAACCAATCAATACCACAAGTAAGAAAAATTTAGAGAGAAAAAAAAAGAAAAAAAAAAAGAAAAAAAAAAAAGAAAA